GGCTCGCGAACCGCCTAAACCCTAAACCCTAAACCTCTAAACCCCTAAACCCTATAAACCCTATAAACCCTAAACCCCTAAACCCTAAGCCTTAAACCCTGAACCCCAAACCCTAAACCCTAGAAACCTTACAGTTTCAACTCTGGCTCGTGATTCCAAGGCTGTGGCGCACAACCCAACCGGCGTCGATCCTACCCCGGAGCAGTGGCAGCAGATCGTGGCAGCCGTGAAAGAACGATCCTCGCCACGAAATGGGATGGTTGAGAGATGTTAAACGGTCAAAGCATGTTGTAGTCCGTCAATTCTAAATTGACCTCATCTGGGTGGGGGCTACCCGGCTGCAACAGTTGAGGTTCGGATTTTGGCAGCCTTGGATTGCTTTGGGTGCAGTATATACGTGTTCGACCGGACAATTACCGCATATCGTTTTTGCTGACAAACAAGGTGTATATATATATATATATATATATATGTATATGTATATGTATATGTATATGTCGTATATGTATATGTATACGTATATGTGTTTATGTATATATGTGTATATGTATATATGTATATGTATATATATATATATATACATATGTATATATATATATATATATATACATATGTATATGTATATATGTCTATGTGTATATATGTATATGTGTATATATGTATAGATGTGTACATGTATATATGTATATATGTATATATGTATAGATGTATATGTATATGTATATGCATACACAAAATATGAACAAACAAATAAGTAAGCTTATTGTAGTACATCTTTGGACTATTTACTTTCATGAACTTTGCACATCTTCTGTGTGCGTATTTATGTATCTGCTTGTCGAATTTCGGCATCAAAAGCCAAGTGAAGCCTAAACCCTTAATCCCCAAACCCTTAAACCCTAAGCCCTAAATCCGAAGCCCTAAACCCTGAGCCACGAACGTGTTTTTGTTGATGCCAGTGGCCTCGCTGTCAAATCAAGTCTATGATTCATCCTCCAGGGTTGGCACAATAAAGCAGCGTTGGGAAAGAGGTTTTTGGGTTGGCATCGGCCTTATGGGGGCTCTGCTCAGAGGCATCAGGTTAACATATGGGCCTTAAGAAGTAGACTTAGGTTTTGCGGGTATATTGTGCTACAAATCCAAGAGCGAAGCCTAGGGTACAATATTCATGATAGTTATTGAGGCTTCTATATCAGATGCCTTGGAATCGGGAGGAAAGCTCGTTCCTCTGCTCGACAACGCCTACCAGGGCTATGCCAGTGGAGATCTGGCTTCTTGGCTCCGGTCTGCTTTCGTACCCCGTACGGTTGGGTTTAGGGGTTAGGGTTTAGGGGTTAAGGGTTTAGGGTTTAAGGGTTTCGGTCGCAGCAGACCTGATTGAGCTGAACAGTAAATCTGTGCATCATCATTCTGTGCACTTTGTTTGAACAGATTAGTCTTTCTTGTTGTCTTGATTGTTTTACCCAAAGGTCTGGTGATACATTCGTCAAGCTCAGTCTAAGCAACAGCATAAATCTGTATAGCAATGCTGGAAAAGACTATATAAATTACTCACAGTTCATATGCCCTTCAGGACCCCCCCACCTAACTAAACCCGAGCTCCTGGAGCCGTAAATCTTACTAAACCCCCAAACCCTAAACCCCTTAAGAATCAACCAAGTCTACAAAATCTGTAAATTTTAAAGAAGGCAAGAAAACGTCTAAACAGTTGTAAACGGCCCCATGTAAACAAAGAGCTGAGGCCAAGGATGGGTATGCTCAGCAGCTGCCTCTTGGATGGCACTTTATACCTCGGCGAGGGCGGTTTGTGGGTTTAGGCTATTTTGGAGGTTAAGGGAGGTCAAGGTTTTAGAGCTGAAGTCTTCCAGACGGATTGGGAGATGCAGATATGGGTGGTTGTCAAAAAAAATTATGGTCCCTTGTTGGGCACCCTAAATATTAGGTGCCGTACCATATTAGGGATCCAAACAAGGAAGTGGACGATGTCCGATGATGTTGGAAACTTGCTGATATCACGAAAACTAGGCCACCGAAGCCCCCCTTGAACCAAAAGCCCGCTACGCGCAAACCGTAAATCGTTAAAAGCCGCAAAGCCGTAAACTTGATAAATCCTAAACCCTAAAGCTTGAACCGTAACCCCTAAGCCCTTAAAACCCTAAACCCTAAATGGTTCCTTGAAGTGTTCTTCTAAAGGACTCTATAAATGGGAGCCCCTAACACCCCACGGAGCAAGAGCAAGCTCGAGACCGAGGTTTTCGGAATCTGGCATGGAATACTTCATCGTGCCCTGGCCTTTCCTGGTGTAGTTTTAGGGTTTTTAGAGGTTAGGGTTTAGGGTATAGTTTGCTTTTGTTTAGGGTATAGTTTGCCTTTGTTTTCTATTCGGTTTTAGAAGGAGCTTGACTAAGAATTACTTGGAGGATCATGGGACTTAGTAAGTAAGTGCCTTAATTGGGGTTACAAGTACTTTTAAGTATAGTTACATTATTTATAATCCCACTTACTAAGTCCCATGATCCTTTAAGTAAAGTTTATAAACTGTAGCATCATCCCGAAAGTCTAACTTACTTATAGTCTCCAATGTAATTTGGGGCTGAAGGAAAGCAAGGGTACTGGCGTTTGCTGGTTTGGGTGGAGGCTTCAGGTTTAGGGTTTGTGGTTGTAGCTTTATTTAGGGTTTAGGATATTGATGAGGTTTCCGTGTAAAGTTATAGGGTAGGGTGACAGTCTACAGATCTTTTGCTGCAAACGTTGGCTATGTATCTAGATACGGCATTTAATTAGAGCCAGTCACAGAGCCCTTTTTGAAGTTAGGATTTTCCTGATTTGTGCCGTTCAAAGTTCAGGTTGTGCTCCGCCAACGATCTCTAATCATTGGCATCTTCGTACTGGCAAGAACGGTTCCAACAAGGCTTGTTTTCGGTGTATTCGAGCTTTGTAAATGTGTAAACAGCATGCGAAGCGCCTCGCCACAGGACAATAGTTGAGGATACCCAACAAGTAGCTCCTCAAGGTCCTCATGGTAATCTTTGTAGCCTGTTGAGGCCCAGTCGTTCGCCAAGAATTTCGGTCTTTATGGCGGCTCGGCTGGCAGACTTGCCCGCGACAATCGCATAATTAAAGGGGTTCGATTGTGTAGGGTTTAGGGCATACCTGAAGTTCCTAAAGGGTCGGGGGACTTCACATCTTGTAAGTAAAGTTCTAAGCACAACCCAACGAAGTTAAGCAGGTGTCTTGTGTTTAAGGGTTTCTGGTTTTTGGTTGCATTTCTGTCGGAGGAGCTACATCCTGAACCCTTAACCCGAAATCTGTTGGTCGCACCAACCACCCGGCCCCCAACGCTTTGCAAGCCTCGCAAACGTCCAAACACCACCAACCCCAAAACTCCAGAAGAGGACAACGGGTTTAGTCACCCAGACCTTCCAAAATCCCTTAAGTAAGGAATATACCTTAGTTCATAGTAGGGATCCTATAATAATTTAAGGTATATTCCTTAATTAAGGGATTTTGGAAGGTCTGGGCATAAACCCCCAAAATCCTGAGCCTGCAAACCAAAACCCTCTTCCCCGAAACCCCCGAACTCAAAAGCCACAATCCCAAATCTCTAACGCCAATGCCTTCGGCACATGGAGTTATATGGGGCTTAGAACTTTGTGTTAGAATTGTAGGGTTTTGGGATTTTTGAGTTGGGATTCGACTCCAGCTTTGTAGGTTTCAGGATTCAGGAAGCTACAAGCACAAGGGTTTAGAGTTTAGGGTCTTTTTAGGTTTAGGGAAACCCAGCGTAAAACCCCGAGATCGGAGGAGAGCGCATCGGCTACATTCACGTCCGATGCGCCACCAAGGATGCTGCTGACGCAGTGTGCCTTTGCAGCAGTTTTTGTTTTAACATTTTTCCATTTCTCGAGTATTCCGAGAGCTTTTGTGCTGTTTGGCAGTCTGCTGTTCAAGCTTGAGCCAGCACGGCTGGTATTACTCTTCCTTTTGGTAGCTCCTGGTACTATGAGCCCCTATCGTTGTATCTCTCGAAGCTTCGCACCCACATACAGCACGAAGCGGTTTTCGTGCGGCTGTCAGGACTTCGGGGCTACCCGTAAGGGTTCCTTCAAAGTACTATAAAGGGTATCATGAGAGGGTTCCTTTAAGGCTTAAGGTTTCCTGTAAGCGAATCAAGCAGAGAGCAGTCGGAGGCGTATGCGTAAGCCGCAAGGCTTACCTAGTTTCATGGCTCAAGTCCCGGCGGCACGACAGCAGTTTAAAGGCAAGTTCAACTTGTCAGAAGGCGACTATGTCAAGGGGCTGATCGACGGCGACTTCTACAAGGTCAAGGACAAGACGGGTAAGTCGACATACGCCTGGCAGGAAGACGAGCATGCCACGGTCAAAGGGAAGGCTTGCAAATCAGAGATGGAGGGCCGGCGAGAGGGCAACAAACAGGATGTGGCCAGGTTCAACAAGAAGGCCAGAAACCTGGGCCGTCGGCTCCCAGACAGTCGACGAAACACCCGAGCATCCCTTTCCAGTCGAAGACGTTCTCGAGCACAAGGCATCTTATGGCGTCTTATGGCGCTTGGTAGAGGAGTTTCGCGTAATATAGGAGCCTCAATAGTTAGAATATGGTTTTGGTCCCATTATACTATATGACAATATAATAAGGAGCCCCCCCCCAAAATACAATAGGCAACCATTAGGGCCCCTATAGTGGTCTTGAGGAGTTGTTCGTGCTTCCAGCCGCTTCGTCACAAAAGCTGACATAAGCATAAGCATTTTGTTGGAAAATCCCTGCTTTGTTTGGATTTCCTATGAGGGGGGTTTACATGGGTTATTTTTATGAAACCCTCAACCCAACGCCTGAAACCATCATTGCTGCTAGCATAACGGCCCCGGGACAAACCCCAACAAAGCCCCAAACAACATTGCATTGGCTGCATTGGAACCCAGAGCAACCCGTAAATGATGCCTTTCAGACTCAAAGCCCCTATTTTCAGAATGACAAGCAGGCTGTCACAGCTGAAGATCATCGTGAGACAGGCTATTTAGGGTTTATCGTTCAGGATTTCGAATTTCGGGATTTAGGTTTTGGAACTGAGTGGCGCATCTGCAGATTCAGAACTGTTTGGGATTAAGCTGGGACCTTAGGACCCAGCCGTGGCGGGTGGGGGGGGGGGGGAGAGTAAAGTAGAATTCCGTTTTGGGCGTTGTTGCTGTTAGCAGGATCCTCTTGTTCCAACTCAGGATTCATATTAATATTAGGCGGGTCTCTTCAATCCTTAGGCCTAAACCTTCCTCATTTTCTGAGAATCCTAGATGGGCGCCTAGGTACAAGCAGTGCCTCTTGAAACTTCTAAAGCTCACCACCCCGCGTTGCAACGCTTTCGGTTGTGGCTCCGGGTGGCCACGTCTCAGGACTAAGCACACCACTGCGGTGTCCTTCGCAACGCAAGAGAGGGCCAGCTGGGTTTTGCGTTTGTCAGCAAACTGGTGCTACACCCGGGACAACTGGGATAAGCTCATGCAGCAGCCTGGTAGCTTTGCTCGTGGCTCCGAGGAGTTCAGATGGAGGCTGCCGACTGCATCGGTGACACCTGGAAGTGGAGCTGTGAAGGACGTGCTGCGATCCAGAGTCTGGTTAGGGTGTACGACCAGGATTTGGCAGCGGCGCTTCTCCAGCTTGTCATCAAGGCTCGGTTTTCTTTGTGGATCCGGTGGGCTCGCCACCTGACGGCCTGGAGGATCTTCGGGTGATGAGGCTCACCTGGGACGGCCAGAGCCCGTGGAAAGACTACCTCCAAAGAGCTCGGCAAGAGAGCTCAAACGGCGTGGTGTTGGGTTCCCGGGTTTAGTGCGAGAGTGTGAGAAACCCTCAAACACAGCACCTATGACACAGGATCCGTGAGCCTAAACAACGATCGTTCTACGGCTCTCATAGGGAATTAGCACTAGGCTTTCGGCTATACAGAGCCCGTCTTTCAATTTTTCAGAGGGTTCATGGCCTAACTCAAGGTATCATCAGGTTTCGGGCCATAATAGCTCAGGTCCTACTGCCACTGCGCACTGAACCCTGAATCTAGGCCCCGCACTTGAAGCCCCAAAACCCCAAAGCCCTAATGCCTAAACCCTCATCCGTAAACTGACTGTGGTGATCTTGGCAAAGTCAGAGCACTAAGACAGGTGCATTGCTCGGGTATCAAAGCTGTTTGCATGCACGGAGGCCTAGATTGGGAGTCTCCGATAATCGGGGACCCTGACAAAGCACCCGAAATAGTAGGGTCCTTAATGTAAGGACCCCCAAATAAGCCAACGGCTCAAACACACAGGAGCGTACAAACACACACACACACACACACACACACACACACACACACACACACACACCCTAAACCCTAAACGCAGACCACGCAGCGGGATACGTGTTGCAGATCCCAGTGATCCGTTTTGGGCAGAGGGTTTAGACTTTCGCTTTCGGAGAAACGGTTTAAGGTCTGGCTAGGCCGTCTGGAGAGTCTAGGGCGCCGGCGCAGGCTTAAGGCTTAGGCTTGCGATCTTGTTGATTTAAGGCTGTGGGGTTTAGAGTTTAGGGTTTAGGGTTAGGGCTTCGTGAGGCTCTTAAGCCCTAAAGCTTAAACCCAAATCAGCCGGAAAGGCCTACTCCAGCCCGCCGAAGCACGGCGCCGCCATTGTCAACCAGGTTTGGGTGGGATCCCCAAAGCCCCAAACCCTAACCCTAAATCCCACAACCCTACACCCTAACCCTTAAGCATTTTGCTTCGCCTCTGGGGAAGACGTCGGCGGGAGGGAGTGGGTAAAGTCCCTTCCGGTGTACATCCCGGCTTGATTTCGCAGATACGGGTAGTACAAAGGTTCAGGTTTGAGGATTTAGGTTTAGGTTATAGTGAAAGCGATATTTCTTACCAAAAAAACACTGGCCAACATTCCCTAGCATCCCTGTAAACAGTCACTGGAATCCAAAAAATCAAGGCCACCTCATACAACGACACCTTGCAGCAAGCTCCGCGAGATTTTCGAACAGTGTCTTCTCTGGATTTTTGTGTATTTGTTATTAAATATTGTTTGAATCATGTATTAATAGTATATTTTACATATTATACCGCGACATATACTACGATATTATTGAAAAGTGCCCTCTCCGGGTTGCCAGTGAAGAAGACGAAGACTGTCATGCTCATCTTAAAGGGTGACGACATCCCCACCAAGCCCGCCAGAGATTTTCGGGATAGACGGCGGCGACATTATGGAGGTTCAGTTCGGTGGAGCTGGTGGCGCAAAGCGTAAGACCACGAGGAAAGTGTTCACGGCAACCCCACAAGAGTCAGACCCTGAGGGCATCAAGAAGGCAGTGGAGGATTGGTTCGAAGGCCAGTCCAAGCAGAATCTCAACCTAGAGCCAATGTGTCCGTAACACAACTGCTTCAACTAATCACAGCACCCACCCTCAGCATCCCGGCTCCACCTATACCCCAAACATCCCCAAACTTCACTAAACCACAAACCCTGACCCTAAACCCTAAACCTTAAACCCCCGACCCTGACAGAGCGACCCACTGCGCCTGCCCGCCTCTCCACAGTCATGGGGACTGCGCCCACGATCCCCTCCTGCCCTCCTGCCCCTGCCCGTGCCCTGCCCCTGCCCGGCCCCTGCCCTGCCTGCCCTGCCTGCCCTGCCCTGCCCTGCCCTGCCCTGCCCTGCCCTGCCCTGCCCTGCCCTGCCCTGCCCTGCCCTGCCCTGCCCTGCCCTCCCCTGCCCTCCCCTGCCCTCCCCTGCCTTGTGTGGCCGAAGTCGAGAAAACCGTAGAATGAGTTTCGGTGCTAAACCCTAAATGGAACAGGTTTAGACGGCGTGGGGTGGGAGAGTTAAAAGAAAGAGCCATCCACAATCAGGCTCCAACGGCCAATCGTCAGAGCACCACGCACTGAAATTACACTCTCGCAAAATACTTCCGCTTATGCGCCAGTCTACGGCAAACCCTAAACCCTATAAGCCCTAAATCCCAAACCTTGAGCCGAAAACCTGAATCCTGACCGGACCCTGAGCAATACAACGCCTAGTACCTTAAGCCCGAAACCCTGAACCTTAATGTAGGACCCTGATTAAGAAACCTTGGGCCTAAGGGTTCATTTAAAGCGGTCTATAACGGTCACTATCAGGGATCTATAAGGGTGCTACAAGAATGTAGGAACCTGTTCCTTTAAAGGGGTCTATAAGGGTCACTATCAGGGATCTATAAAGGTGCTAAGAGAATGTAGGAACCTGATTAAGAAACCTTGGGCCTAAGGCTTCCCTTAAAGGGGTCTATAAGGGTCACTATCAGGGATCTATAAGGGTGCTGAAAGAATGTAGGAACCTGATTAAGAAACCTTGGGCCTAAGGGTTCCTTTAAAGGGGTCTATAAGGGTCACTATCAGGGATCTATAAGGGTGCTGAAAGAATGTAGGAACCTGATTAAGAAACCCTGGGCCTTTATTCCTACTATGTTGGGGCTTAGGGCTTTTAGGGTTTAGGGCTCACAGGGCCTATAGGGCTTATACTATAATGTAGGAACCTGATTAAGGGATCTTGGGCCTTTATCAAGGTTCTTTTTATGCATCCTACTAGTTTGGGGTTATAGGCCCAGGGTTTCTTAATCAGGTTCCTACTTTAAACCCCAGCTGTAATCCATAAGTGCGACCTACTTCTTTCAGGGAAGTGTAAGGGTTTCAGACTGTAGAAGCCTGACAAAGTAGGCCTGTTGGGTTGCAGGTATACCCCACGGCTCAGATGCATTGTAAATTATAGCTATAGCGTTTCGGGGTCAAAAACGATTCTGCCAAGCAGACGGCTTACACAAGGAGGCGTGCAAGTGGCTGTGCTCAGCCCAAATCCTAAACTTCAATCCTCCAGTGAAGAGCGTCTAGGGTACTTCACACTCTTCACAGCAGTGAGAAAAGAAGCCCTCAACTTCCCAGATGGATGCTTTCAACCCATCGATCTCTAATGGGCTTGATGTTTAACGCCCACAGTCTTTAAAGACTTATTTTCTAGGACCCATGGTCCTCCCTTTATAGATCCCTTTAAGGATCCCTTTAAGGAACCCTAAGCCGCCGCAGATTCTCACGAACCCCGAGCTGAAAGCCATGTGGCTTGGGGAGTTGCTTGGCTTCTTCGCCTGGCGGGGGGTGGGGAATTTTGGGGGGGCTTGGGGTCGGTTTCAGAAGGGTTCCTATTGAGAATCTAGAGGGGCTTAGGGTTGAGGGTTTATGAGATTTGCGGGGTTTAGGGGCTCGTTTAAGAAGGAACTAGAGAGGTTCAGGGGTTCAGGGTTTGGGGGTTGAGGGTTTATAGTGGGGTTCACGTTTTGGGCGACTTCAATGCAGTTTAGTTTAGAGTTTAGGGCCCTTGAGCGGGGAAGGCTGTCGGCACGAGGTGCAGTGGTTAGTAAGTACACTCTAAGTGGGGCAATGCTGTCGGTCGCAGACCGCTCGGGGTCATCAGAACACTTGAAGCCCATCAGCAGGCTCGTGCGCTTCACATATGTTTGCACGATGATTCTTTCATGCTTGACAGTGACACTGCGGCATTCGGATTGAATGTAGTTTGTCAGTGTTGTTGGACTCCTTCGTCTTCTTGTTTTGTCGGCATTGCACCTTACGGGTGGAACAGACCTGTTTAGACTAACGGTTTAGGGTTCAATTAGAGGCTTAGGTGTAGAGCTTGGATTTGGTGTCTGGACTTGTTCCCCCAGTACAATCACAGGTACAACGAGCGACAAGAAAACTTCGATTCCTGAACCCCACACCCTAGACCCTATGTTAGGCTGAAGCTGATGTCCAACCGCATTGTGGACATGCGGGTGCCCGGCTCAGCACTTCGATGCGTGTGTTCTCACATGTTTAGCTGTCCAAGCCTCTTGGCCGCGCAAATCATCAGCGTCCGGTGCAAGGCCAAACACGAACTCAATCGAACCCCTAGAAACGATCCCCGTATGACGGTACACGCAACTTCTGCGTATCACGCCGTAGAAAGAGGTGTTTGGGATTTAGGAGGATTTATCGGTTTCGGCTGCAGGGTTTAGGGGTCTAGGGAGTCTAGGGTTTAGGGAGCGCGCTGCAGCACATCTTACAAAATGACAGCGGGTTCAGGTTTTCATGGTTGATTCTCAGGTCTCCGGGGTTATCCTGCAAAGACATGAGGATCCCCTCCACGGACCTTCCAGTCTGCACAAAAGCCTTGCAAAAGTCTTATAACCAGACCTTGTGCAGGCTAGAGAGTCTCAGAACTCATTAGCCCGGCAGGTGGGCTTGTTGCTTTAATTGGGGAGGCATGTTCGTTTCATCCGACTTGTGTTTTTTTATTGTCGAAAGCCCCCTACCCACAGCGCTTTAAACCCGACACAGGTAGTAAAGTGATGACGCCACACCCTGAACCCTCAACCCTATACGTCAGCCCTTAATGTTGTGAGCCCTTTACACTACAATCCCCGAACCCTAAACACCTTAAGCCCACATATGCCTCAGACAAACACTAGGCCCGTGGAGCACCAAAACCGTGTAAGCCCCCAGCCTCATAAGCCTCAGAAACACCCGAAGCTCTATAAGCCAAGCCTTGTTAGTTACTAGCCAGAAGCCACAAGCGATTGAATCAAACTGCAGCGCGCATCCAATGAGTTTGCTATGGTGCCAAGAGCCATGTTGACCCCTGATTACCATATCCCCTTAACCCGATGTTTTCGGTTTAACCGCAACCATTCGGAAAGATTAAAGACCCCAAGCCCTAGACCCTGCACCCCAAACTGAACCCCGAAATCCTAAACCCTCCCCAACTGTCCTGGTACGCGTCTCTCGAAGACCTTCGGGCTTTCGTAGAAAAGGAGCTCCAAAACGCAAACCCTCCCCAACTCGTAAGACTCAAGCTGTCAAGGTGGCTCTCCGACAGGCCCGGCTCTCACAAGAGGATGGAAGAAGGGTAGAGGGCTAATATGGGTAGTTGTCAAGATGAGGCTCCTTTTTGGGTCCCTATTATGATACGGCACCTATTATTTAGGGTACCCACAAAGGGGTCCTAATTTTGACAACTGCCCGTCTGGGGCCCTTAAGAATTATCTACACTATGTTGGGGGGTTCCTTGTTATTTTACAAGTATAGCCTATTATACCCCAAAACCCTATTCTAATCATTAAGTCATTAAGGCCCCTATGTCATAAGTTTGGTTTAGGGCTCCTACAAGGCGGCCGCTCCTAAATATGAACGGGGATCTGGGATTTGGGTTTTAAGGGTTTGGGGGTTTGGCGGGTTTTAGGGCTCCTGCAACTGTAACGTTTTGGGGGTTACTGTCATCCCTATACAAGTCTCAAGTTGCCTTAGGAAGCTGGACAAGTAAGCGTCCAATGGCTTCGCTGCAAAAGGCTCTGTCTGGTCACGTTAAACGACTAGGTAGGCCTTTGGAACATTTTGTATTTTCCCTTGTTGGGCTTAATAGGACCCTATTTACGAGTATTTTTCAGAGGCTTTAAGGAGCTAACCTAGACGAACTTATATACCCCTGACAGCGAGCCTGTTCGCCCGTGCAGCCTTAAACAAACCCCACAGCCCAGAGATCCCTCAAAGGCTCTGAGACCTGAAACTCCTATAGCCCCAAGTTAGAATAGCTGTCAGAAGGAAACAACCCAAAACTTCAAAAGGAAACCCTAAAACTTTACCCTAAACCCTGCAAAACCCCGCACCATCTGCGCAAATCCTATACAAAGCTCTCCAACACACCAATTCCTCATAAGAGGTTACATTTATGTAATTTGTGTATTCGCAAACGTAATTGCTGTTACTTATTAAGCCCCTTGATTCTCTTACGGATCATGGGACTTAGTAAGTAAGGTTATGAATAAGGTAACTATACTTATATCTATTTATAACCTTAATTAAGGTACTTATAACCTTACTTACTAAGTCCCATGACCCTTTAAGTAAGCCATGAAACTTCCTTCCCAGGCCATTGAGGCCAAGGGCACGCCTGGCACGTGGAACCACGTGACCGCACCTTTGGCTAAAGGAAGCGGTAACTCTAGGGATCAAAACAGCCCAAAAGCCTTATGTAGTATGGTCTTTGGCTCCACAAGCCTTAATATATGAGTCCTTGGATCCCTAGGGTAAGATTTCTTCTTTAGTTTGGGGCGCAGGGTTTAGGACTTTGGGGTTGTACGGGTGTTGAGGTGTCTGTTCCGGTGTTGCGATGTTGTTGGGTGTTCTGCAGGGGTTTCTGGGATTGGGTGTGTTCTGTAGTTTCGGCATACAGGAGTTGCATGCTGTCTAGTTTCGTTATGGACCTGAGACTCCTTAAAGAGTTTGACTTGGTCTACTGCGCTTACAGGGCAGGGTACAGGTGCTTGATTGGTCTTTGCTGAGGGTGGCTCTGCTTTGCAATGGTTTGGGGCCGGGGGATATAGCTGTCATTTGGCTCTGTGACTTAGCTTTGAGGGGCGCGTCTCCCGAGCAGAGTCACAAGCAAACCACAGCCGATTCACAGTTAGGACCCTAAGCCCAAAATAAACCATTAACCCCAACAGCCCGAAGTGACATTTGGGTGTTCAAATTTACCAATACTATTCCCTTGGGTTCCTTATTTGAAGATTATGTTACTCCAAGCCTGTTCCGATTATTAAGGTCTCTGTATTGGCTCTTCTGAACAACCGAGGATCAGATTGGCATGTTCACCTTCACGGGCTTGACGAAGGAGACCTGCAAAGCCAGCACCGGGGTTCGCCGTTCAGGGTTTGGGTTTCAGGTATGGGTTTAGGGTCTGGGTTTTCGAATGGTTTACGTTCAGTTTATGGCAGTCGGCCTAAACCATAACCGACCTCAAAGAGCTTGCCAAATCCTAGAAATGCTTTCTCAACACTGCATCATAGGTCATCTTCAAAACTTAAACCGTTGTAAAACCTTGTCAAGGCCGTGTCAAGACATATCTAGAAGCTGCACTGCGGGTCAGTGGCCAAGTCACTTCACGGCGGCAATCGGCCAGCAGGGTGCTACACATAGCGCATCTTGACTTGCTTGCTGGCTTTAGGGTGTTACCGGGCTTAACAGGATGTTCAAGTTTGCAATATCTTTACGTTATGAATAGTTGTTGGAGATCTTGGAGTTGGGTAGTAGCGACTTTGACATCAACAAGCCACTTCTGATCCTTGGGGTTTATGGTTCAGCAGAGGAGGGTTGTCCGGCGCACGGAGCAGGACCAAGTGGTGCGAATGGTCGAAGAGTTCCACATCTACATGTGGCTGGCCACCTACTAGACCATAAACCCCATCTAAACTCTAAACCCTAATCTCTAAACCCTATTCCTAAACCCTAAACCCCAATCTCTAAGCCCTAAACCCTATTCCTAAACCCTAATCTCTAAAGCCTAAACCTGCACTTTAAAAAAAAAAAAGCCTAAACCTTATTAGCATGCTTTAGGGCCTTCCGGCCCTGGCATGAAGTGAAAGGGGTACGGGCTTGGTGCGGCGCTGGGAAGGGTAAGGCATCGGATAGTTTCAGGTTTTGCTTTAACCCGGAATACCCTACCTTTTTAAGGCCTCATATGAGGAACTCATAATAAGCCTACCTTTTTAAGGCCTCATATAAGGAAATCATAATAAGCCTACCTTTTTAAGGCCTCATATAAGGAAATCATAATAAGCCTACCTTTTTAAGGCCTCATATAAGGAAATCATAGTAAGGAGCCCTAAAAGGTAGTTTCTTGAGGGTTTAGGTAGGGTTTAGGCTCGTGGCCAAGATCCCCCAAACCTCGGACCTCCAGTTTCATCGAATTTTGAAGAGTTAACCTGGCCTGCAAAGTAGGAGTAGAAAGGGATCCCTGAACCCGAAAACAACACCATACCCTCGACCCGGAGCTTAACCTACGTCACCGCTCAAGTGTCAGAACGGTAAACCCGGAGCACATTACTGCAGTTGCCCAGACCTTCCAAAATCCGTCAATTAGGGAATACCTTAAATTATAATAGGATCCCTAATATATCCTAATATGAAGAGGTTCTGGGTGGTTTTGAGAACTTGTCTCAAGGCTCAGACAGAATGATAGATGCAGGGCCCAGAGCCCGTAAGCACGGAGCAGTGAACGGGCATCTGCAGCCCTCTCCAGGCCGTCGTCCTAAGCCTTTTTACCCTGACCCGCTAAACCCTGACATTTAAAGCTAAACCGCAACTATCGCGGAGTGGCCAAAGATGCGCCTTTGTGACTTACGAGGATCCTCAGGAGGTGGGCTGCACAAATTGCAGGGGCTGCATGCTCAGGCATCGATGGCAGTGGCCGCACTGCACATGAACTATAGGATGAGACTCAATGACTTTCCGCTTGTCGTCCGCGAGGCAAATTGGCAAAAGAAAGCCACCCAAGCCGACGGAAGCGTAGACAGATAGGATGCGCGGAAGTCACGCAGTGCCCAAAATTTTGACATTACGAGCTGTCTGACGAGGTGCTCGGATGCAAGAAATACCTATACCTAAACCCTAAGCCCTTTAAAACAAATGAAACCTTTGAAAAAAGCCCTAAACTCTTTAAAACGAAACCCTAAACCCTAGACCCACAACCCGGAAGCCCTCTACGAACCTCGAGCCGCCCACACATTGACTGTGAACCTCGAGGGAAAGCGAGGGTTGGTGTTTATGGTCTGGTTTGGGGTTTAGGGTTTAGGGTGGCTAAAAGACCGCAGAGCACCCCCGGACAGCTATGGTTGAGGATATGAAGGTTAGAGGTAAAAAAAGGTTACGGTTTGGGGGAATAGGCTTTGACTTTGAGAGTGCTAGGGGTTGCGGTTTCAGGTCCTTCCAGACTTTGGTACTCATATAGAGATGCATGAGCTCCAAAGTACCTATACAGGGACAACAAGGCCAATGGATATACTGTATGAGTACATGGACCCTTGGGGTTTTGTATGCTTCACAACCCTTCGAGATTCGAGTGTTCAAAGCAGGCCTCCAACACTTGATCTGCTTTGCTCACCCGCGCTGCACGCGTACAACCCCCGTCCTCCATTTTTTTTCTAGGGTTCAGGGTTTAGGGTTTAGGGTCCCCCTCCCCTCCCCCTTCCCTTCCCCCCCCTCCCCCCCTCTCCTCAACATTACACCCGAACCCTGCTTGAAGGCTTCGGGGTAGTGATAGGGCTGAAAGTACATATTGTGATACTTCACTTGCTTGTATCCCTTCTTAAACTAGGACCCAGAGTAAGCCCTTATTCCCTTTTTTAGGGTTCAGGTTCCCTTATAACCCCCTTTAAACCAAAAAGGGCACCCTGTTCATTCCTAGGTTACTCTTAGGTCTAGTAAAAGTGCCCCTGATCGAATCCTGAAACGACAAAACCCATGTATAAGAACCGTTCTATACGGCCTCTTCATGACCTTATAGAGCACTCTCATCCGGCCCTATGATAAAGCTCCAAACCCCAAACCAAAACATGCAAGCCCACGCACTAAACCGTCAGCGTTAAGTTCAATATTAGTTATCATGTGACAGAAAGGTTTAGGGTGGTCAGTCTAACCCCAGATTCGAAAACAGCTTCTAAACCCAGACTTTCGCTCAACACTTTCGAGTCAATATGAACCCTAAAACCCCAAACCTTATAGACCCTTTAAACCTCCTAGACCCTAAGACCCTAAAACCGTGAAGCCTGAAACACAAGGACGGGGGACGGACGCATCTCAATGGCCGGCCTCAACCCCTCGAACGTGGAGACACTGGGCCGCAACTTAAGCCAGGGTTCAGGGTTTGGGATTTGGCGGTTTAGGGTTTAGGATTGGGGTTAAGCCACGGTTTAGGGTTTAGGATTTGGGGGTTTAGGGTATGGGATTTGGGTTTTAGGGCCGTGTGTAGGGTTGGGGTTTCAGGTTGATTAAGGTTCAAGGTTTGGTGGTTTGGGAGGGTTTGGGGTTTAAGATTACAGGTGTATTTGGGCCTCCGAACACATGGACAGTGCTTGGAGGCCCTTTTGACTTAGTAACTAGGATTAGTAAGCTGGGTTATGGGGATTATAATCGGGTTTCTAGGGGATACTAAGTAGACTTACTAAGTCAAAAGGGCCTCCAAGTGGGGCTCTGGCACCCGCTCAGCCACGCCGTGGGCAAGTGGCAGCCTGACGTTCGAGAGCGAGTTTGTGAGCCCAGCGCGCTGTGTGTGCGGAAGACAGAGCTGAGGCTTGGGGTTCGCCTTGGCCCTCCAAAAGCTTCCTGTTTGAGGACTCCAGAAATCATAATTCAGAATCGAAAACATGTATGAACTCTTGTATTTGAGGCGTACGGTTTGGAGTTTCGGGGTCTAGAGGCGAAAGGTTCAGGACTACTGAAGGACCCTGTAAAGTGCCCCTTAAAGGACCCTCTGAAGGATCACTTAAGGCCCCCTTGAAGGACTACTTATGACCCCCTGAAAGGACCCCTTAGCGAACTACTTCAAGGACCCCTTAAAGTACACCTTGAAGGACCCCATCAAGGATTACTTCAGGATCCCTTCAAGGACTACTTCAGGACCCTTTAAATTACCCGAAAGAACCTTCTACAGGATTACTTAAGGACCCCAGAAGTACCCCTTAACGGACCCCCAAAAGGACCCCTTGAAGGACTACTTACCCAGAGAACCCAATATCCCCTAATTAAGGAATATGCCTTAAATCATATCAGGGATCCTATTATAATTTAAAGTATATTCCTTAATTAAAGGGTATTGGGATCTCCTAAACCCTAAACCCTAAACCCTAAACCCTAAACCCTAAACCCAAAGACCCCTGAAAGGACCTCTTAGGAGGGGCTCCGGGGTCCCAAAGGCAGTAGACCACAAGCGAAATGGGAGTTTCCGAAAATGAGGGTTACCTTTAAAAGGGCTCCTGTTGCTTTAGGGGTACTGTAAGGATACTATATAAGGGTTCCTTGAAAAGGGTTGCTATAAGGGTGTAGAGTTTCCGAAAATTAGGGGTACCTTATTTTGGGGTCCCTATAATAAGGATCCTACTATTTAGGGTACTATATTAGGGTCCCCTATTTTCGGAAACTCCCAAATCAGGATGGGCTCCAGGGAGTTTCAGGTTTCCAATCTGTGGGTCCTAACTACGGCTGATGCTTTGAATCCTGCATTACCTTAAGGGCCCGAATGTATGGTATTTTCCTTATCATGGGTAATGCAGGATTTATATCCCTGAACCCCAAACCCTGCTTAAAACCTTTAGATCCCTGACCGGAACCCCTTAAAGGCACCCTTATACATCCCTCTAAAGGAATCCCTTAAAGGTATCATCACGCTGCTAAACCAGTTGGAAAAGAGCCCTGAAAAAAAACAAACCCTAAATCCTAGAGGCATGTGGCTGAAGCCTAAAGTTCGAAGTCTGGGGTTCCACGGGAAAATCATGCTTCTTCGCATGCGTCCTTTAAACCCCAAAGAACCTTGAACCCCTGTGCCTGGTCATGGGTTCAGGGCCGGCGGAGACCCACACCCTAAAGTATCCTACTTAAAGGATCATGGGACTTGGTGAGTGGGGTTACAAATCAAGTAACCATACTTATAAGTACTTACAGCCCCAATTAAGTCACTTATAACCTTACTTACCCCATGAGCTCAAAACACGAGCAATGTGTAACAACGAACCCTAAATTCTAAAGCCCTATGTAGGGTTTGAGGTTTAAGGTCTATTCAGGGCTTGGGGTAAACTGTAAGCATCCTCAAATCCTAAAACCCCAAAGCTCTTCATGGGATTTATAGGGTTTAGGGAAACCAACAGCCCCTAACTTCCTAAAAGCCAAAAGATCCCAAACCTTAAGGCCTTCTCGATCCCAAACCTGATGCGTTTTTTAGATCCCCAACCCAGAGGGTCCGTGTACACTGCTATTATGGAATCAGGTCCCAAAAACCATAGTGGGGATGGTCTTTGGAGGCCTACTTCCATAATAGTAGTGTACATGGACCCTCTGGGAAACCTGCTATACTTCCATATTAAGGTGTACAATAAGAACCTACAAAGAAAGTAGGTGTGGCACTTTAAGGCAAGCCCTACAGATCCCGAACCTTAAGCCCTACAGATCCCAACCTCAAGCCCTATAGATCCCAACGCTTAAGGTACGTGGCCGAAAGCATCGACAAGGCCGTTCGCGGCATCTGAGCAGAGCTCTTGCCACGGCCGGATGTCTGGCAGCACGCCTTTTCGAAGATCTGGGGCGGGCCTAAATTATAGGGTTCGTTTAAGGGTTCGATTTAAAAGGGGTCTATAAGGATTACTAGGATTCCCTATATTAAATAATTACCAAATCTATTTTGGGGGTTCCTTGTTATAACTACAGTATAGTGGGTTCCAAAACACAGTATACTGGGCTCCAAAACCCTATTCTAATTATTAAGGTCTAGGGTTTAGGGTTGAAAGGTTTCTGGAGTGTAGGTCGTGGCTTTCTTTAAGTGGCTCTATTATCTGTTTATATGGGTTTTACAAGTGTTCTGCAGGGTTGTTAACCAGGTTTGTTTGCGGCGTGCGGCTTGGTTCTCCAGCAGTGCTCCTGCGCCCCTTCTTTCCTTTGGGACTGACTAGGAGGAAAAGGGTCCTGTTACCGCTAGCAGGTACTGGGTAATCCGGGAGTTTTCAATGCTCGCTTCTATTTATATGTAAAATAAAGTGGAGAGCACCTCAACCAGAAGACTGTAAGGGGTTTCTGGGGCTTGGGTGTAGGGTTTAGGGCTTAGTAGGCACGTGCAGCCTGGGGCTCATGGCCGACAGCAAAGGCTCGTTTGGACAGCCTTGTCTGAGTGCTTTCGAAGTTTGAATGAGGACTATGAAGACAAGTAGGGGCAATTGCGCTGAGGCCCGTTTTAGTCGCTTGTGGCATTGCAGAAAGGTCTGCAAAATGTTCATGTTGAGATGAATGCTCGGTGGAAACCGACACGGATCAAACGACGGGCCTCGCCGTGGTAAGGGGTGGCCTCCGCCAGCTTTTCCTTATGCGAAACGCATGTGGTCAGATTGCTAAGGATCTGAAAGCTCACATGCATGGCCTGCGCCGCTCGCACTGCCGAAGGGCCAGTGATCCAGTCGCAGCATGCGTCATTTGCTGATGCCTGCTGCTGCTTTTGCTTCCGCAACATATCAGAGAGTCTTACCTCAATCACTTGTTGGTTGCTGCTTCGTGTTGTTTCAGATTCTTCGATCCCTAAGCCCTAAACCTGAGAGCGAGGCTTCCTAGTGTCGTCGAAGGGCCAGGCCAACAAGGCAGCCGCCGCGGCCGCCAGAATCCATGGGCGCCAGATGAAAGCCGGAGCACTGCGTCTGCGTGATCTCGAGAATAGCGTGCATGCATTCTTCCCTAAAACCTGAAACCCCCAAACCCTGATGGCGGAGGGTTCTTCTACTGTCGATGGTGTTCGACAAGCGTCCTGGTGCAAAGGTGCCTTGAGTTTGCCTGGATGGTCAGGCGGACACAAAAAGGAGATCAAACAAAAACCCTAAACCCTAAACCGTTTTAGGGTTTAGAGTTCAAGGTTAAAGGAATAGGGTCCAAGGTCTTTATGTTTAGAGTTTGGGGTTGGATCGGCCCTGTTCTTGGATTCATAGAAAAGCCTTGATTATTCTCTAGCTTTCCGTGTTCCAGTTTTCCTTCTTTCTGCTCCCTAAAACCGTATTCTTGTTATGTTGGCCCCCATATACCTTAACCTACCAAAACCCATCTTTTGTTGGGTCCCAATCAATTCCATATTAGGGTTTATACTTAGAAATTAGAACCTACAAAAATCAGGGTTTGGTAGGTTAAGGTAGCCTAAACCCTGAACCTTAAACCCTAATCCCTAAACCCTAAAATCCTGCCCCCTACGTATATAGGGTTTGTGCGTTGCCAAGTCTTGGCACTGCTCTTGATCCCGACTCGACGTCGATGAGATCTTGCACCTAATAAAGGGGCCTAAAGAATTATAGGGTTCATTTAAGGGTTCCACTTAAAGGGGTGATTACCATATGGGGTATGATGGGGCTTTGGGAAAGGGGCCTAATTAAATAATTACCAATACTGTTTTGTGGGTCCCTTCCTAATTTTGGTATAATGGACCCTAAAACCCCATTTTAATTAGTAAGGCCCCTATATTAATGACTTACAGTAGTTGTTCCTTAGAGTTCTTCAAAACATTCACGACAATATACTGCCGAAGCCCCATCCAAATAATGAACGCCCGGTCGAGGGCTCCATGCTAGAGGTCTGTTTGGTGTTGGGTTTGAGGGGGCTCCTTGTCGGGTTTAGGATTCGAATTTTGCCTGCCGCATAGCCCTGGATGTTGTCATGGGCATCCTTAGCCACAGTCGTTGTTTGTCTCCGGTTGCGGCGGCGTGGTGTCGGATGAATCCACCGTCCTGCTTTCATCGCAAGACCCTGAGCCCCGCACCCAGAACTTAGTCTCTGAGGCCTTAGGCGTGCTTCCTGGCTCTGTCTGTGCCAGCCCATTGCTCCCGGAGTGTTCGCATCCGAAGGACAGAGTTCGTAGGGCTTTCGAAGGAGACACGAGGAGATGAGCCCAAAGTTAAACCCCCTGAACCCTAAACCGAAAAACCCTGAGCCCTCAACCCTGAACACGAAAGCCTAAACTCCTCTCCAGAAGGTCTCCTTTCGATAGCCCCATGGATGGGAGAGTTCCGATTTTCTTAACCTACCCAGCCAGAGGCAGGTCGGATCTCCTCTTGCCTGTAGCATGCGGACGCCAAGCATCTCTCATGCGCAGGTTGGGAGTTCGTGCTTGCAAAGGCTGGAGAGCCGCACTACCAACCTGAAGCCTTCAGCCCGTAACTAACAGAATCCGCAGGCTTTGCTTTATGTAATTAGTTTGGTTTTATTTAGCCTATAATATAATGTGTGCAAGACGGTTCACACCTCGGCTATGGTAAGTAGAGTGTTCTGTTTGCTTTGTGCACCAAATGTGCTGCTATCTAAACCCTAAACCCTAAACCCCTAAACCCCCAGACAACCGCGCGCAGTGACTAGGTGAGCACACGTATTCCGAAGCAAGCTAATGCCTGCAGCCAGTGCCTTTGTTCGGGGTCCTGTGTTCCCGGCGGTACCTAGCAAGATAGCTGCTTCCTTTGCAAGCACCAGAATGGGAATTTTGACTGCCCA